GGGGGGAATGGAGACTTTTCTTCTCCCGTTGAGCCCATGACTCCCTGTCTCTCCACCTCCAGGTCTTTGTTCAGCTGTCCCGTTCTCAGTGCTCCACCCCAGCCTCCTTATCAAAAACAACCACTTCTTTTTACCCATTTCTGTTCTCGGCTTCTCGCTAGCCTGAAGACTCACATTTTTTCCCCGATCTGTCTTGTGCATTATTGGTCCCCCCTATTGCTAAGCTTCGTGAGGGCACAGGTTGTTTGAAGGATCCCTGGTAGCACAGTGGTTAAGCACTTGGCCAGAAAGTTGGTGCTTCGAACCCACTAGCTGCTCCATGGGAGAATGATGAGACTGTGTGCTCTTATCAAGATTTATATCCTTGGACACCCTCTGGGCAGTCCTACTGTGTCCTAGAGAGCCGATGTGAGTCAGAATAACTCGGTGGTCATCGTACATTTGGCTCAGACCCTTGTCTGTCTCTCTTCCTAAACTACAAGCTCAGGGAGGGCACAGGCTCTGAGCTATTATTTTGTTCAGGGTTGTATCTTTGGGGCCTAAAGCAGTGTTTGGCCTCTACGAGGTGCTCAGTAAGCTGCTGGCCGACCAACAGCCTTGTCCCACATGCTCTGCACAGTTGCTTGCATCCACGCCTGCTTAAATGTGCCGCTATCAGCATGCCCTGCCTCCTCCCAACACACAGGGGCAGGATCTCCAGGCAGCTACTCAGTCAGCTGTGCCTACTCAGACTCCCCCTCAGTCAGGGACTGAAATTTCAGTGGGGCTGCAAGCCAGACCCACGAAGTGACCCGGATACAGATGTGTGTGTGTGTGTGTGTGTGTGTGTAGGTCTCTATCAGGAGGAATTTGTGGGAAGCAGCACCTTTCGAAGGGCATCTTGCCCTTCTGCCTGTCCATGGTCTCATCAGAGAAGAGAGCTGGGAGTGGGTAAAGGGGAGCTGGAAGTCTGGGGGGGGCGGGCAGGCAAGAAGGTCCCTAGTGTAGCACAGTAAAGCAGGAGAGAGGCTGGGGAGGTGGGGGCAAATGTGGACTAAGCTGGAGGTCTGGTGCCCCTTGAGGAAGCCCCTTCCTCTTTCCAAAGGTGCCTAAGCCCTACTACTTTGAGTCAGCTCATACACTGGTAGTGCAGTGGTTAAGCACTTGGCTGCTAACCTAAAAGTTGTTGGTTTGAACCCCCCAGTCTCTGCAATGGAGAACAACGCTGTGGTAGTCTGTTTCTGTAAAAATCACAGCCTTGGAAGCCCTGTGGGACAGTTCGAGTCTATCCTATAGGGTGGCTGAGTCGGCATCTGTAATGGACCCAACAACTCAAATACCCTGTCACCCCAGCTCCCCTGGGGCCACTCCCACTTATCAGTAGAACTCTACTCCAGGCTGTAGAGACCCTGGAGGCGGACACAGCCATTCTCCAACTTTGCACCCCTACCCTCTGCCAAGGTGCCCCCACCCACAGGACTCCATGTGTCCCCTACAGAAACAGGGTCCCTGCCTCCCAGGTCCTTCCTCCCAGGGGCTGAGTCCTATGACCCCCACCACCACTCCCCCCGAGTACGCAGGGTCTGACAGACTCCTCCAGCTCCCTCCAGGAACTTGGGGTTGGTTGCTTAAAGGAGTGGGCCAAGGTGGGGGGCAGCAGCCCGTAACAGTATGTTCAGAGCACCCCCAGACTTCACAGAGGCCTCTAGTCTGACTGTGGAGGGGGCAGTAAGGTCCAGGGGACAGGAAAAGGTCCCTGTCCCCAGTGAAGAGCCATCTCCTCCCAGCATCCCCTCTTCCAGTGGCACCCAATGCCTGTGTGTGTGTAAGGGGAGGCATCCTTCAGGCAGATGACAGGGCCTGGGGAGTACCCCGAGGTGGCTGATGGGGTTGGAGGGGGAGGCAGAGAGAAGAAGCCAAGCAGGGGAAGATGGGTCTACCCGCCCACTCCCCAGGGATCTGGGTGACACCTCTGGAGTCAGGGGAGGCCCAGAGGGCAGTGCTGGCTGCCTCTGAGCTCTCGGCCCAAACTCCAGCTGTACTTTGCTGAATCAAAATACATCTTACTCCAAAGCAGGCCAGGGTTGCTATGGCAACTGTGCGAATTCATGGAGGATTTCTCCGTCTAATTTATGATGCCCGCCCCTGTGAGTCAGAGTACAGATCCAGGGACCAGGGCAGGTGACTCCTCTGTCCTAGAGGCCAGAGCAGGCAGGGGCACACGTGAAGGGACAGATCAAGGTGAGGAGCACAAGTCGTCCCCCCCTTCCCCACACCCTCCCTCCTCTAGCCCTAGTCAGAATCTTTCAGTGGGCTAGAGCAGAAGGGAGGAAGAAATCCCAAAGCTGTCAATCACATCCTGGACCCATCTGGTCCTGGTCCACACCTACTGAGCACCTAGAGGTGGTACACCTCAAGTACCCTCCCTCATGGAATTCTCCCACCCATGCTATGAAGTAGGGATCACATACTACCCCATCCTACAGACGAGGAAACTGAGGCCGGAGAGCTCGAGGTGGTGTGCTGGAGGCTGCTTGGCCACTAGGTGGTAGCCCTCACCTGGCTTTCAACTCCAGATCCCACAACTAGCTCACCTGGTCAGAGGCTGCCCTGCAGGACCCCCTCCCTTCTGGAGCTCCTCTGGGGCAGTAGGGAAGGCAAGGCCAGCTTGAGAGACTGAGACTGTGTATGTGTGCTAGTTATCTTGGGCAGAGATGCTCAGGCTGGGGCTGCCTGGGGGCTCCTTCTAGGGCCCCAGGACCTACCCCCAACACAAGGCAGAAGTCAGTCCCAGTTCTTAGCATGCCCTGGAGAGTGGGGAGAGACGGGGTTTATACACAGTTGGTGGGGTGAGAAGGGTCCTCCAGGCCCCACGTGTGCTCTGCAGGGCCCTGCCCATCCGCACAGGTGCCCTGACACACTGACACGATCATAAGTGCGCAGCCGCACACGCGCAGTCCACACGCCCATCCATCCATCCATCTCCTGCCCCCAGGGAGCTCCCGGTTGAGCCGGGATGAGTGCGGGGATCAGGGTGCCTAGCTCCCCCGCCCTTCCCTGGGGCCCCCACAGCGCACGCTCGGCTCGATCTCGATCGGGTTGCCACAGGCAGAAGAGGCTCCCCTCCCCCTCGTGGCCCCCTTCCCGGCACAGACGCCGCAGAGGCCAGGACTCCCGAGCCGGTCAGAGTGGGCGCACACAGCCCTGCTCCCCAAGTCGCCCCTGTCCTCAGCCAGTCGGCTGGCACTGGGCGACCTTGGCCTAAGCCTCCCCCTCAGCAAATCACCCCAGGCCCGCCACGCCTCGGCAGCCACACCCCCAGCATGGTCCTGCCCCCCCCCTGCAAAGCTTGTTATTAAACACATGCAGGAGGGGCCTGCGGGCTGTCACCCTGCGGGCGCCCCTGCCCACCAGGGGTATCTCCATCTCTCCAGGGTGGGGGGCCTCGCCTCGCCCCTTAAAGTCCGCAGCAGAGCCCTCCTACTGGCGGTCCGCAGCCTGGGGAGGGAGGGGCGCGTGTCGCCGGAGAGGGGTTTGGGGGGCCGGGCGCCGCCCTCCTCCCGGTAGCGCCCCGCGCCGGCGCCCCGCACTCACTGGCTTTGCCGGGCCGCGGCCTCTGCAGCAGCCGCTGCGCGGTGCTCACGTCCTCCGCCTTTACTGCCTGCACCAGCTCCTGCTCCTTCCCCATGGCGCCGCCGGGCCGCAGCGACGCGGCTGGCTGGGCGCTCAGCGCGGTCAGCGGCGGCGGCCCCGCGGCCCCGGCC